GGAATGGACAAGAGACCACACAAGACAAACAAATAAGAACTTATTTATTGATTTGATCCATTTATATGCCACCTCTCCAGAGGCTTCTGTCCAAATTGTTCCTCTCTTCCCCACAAATCCTCAAACTAAGCCTGAAAAATAGAATTTACCCTACTGCAAATGAATTGTTATTAGCTTTAACAAAATCAAATTAATTATCTTACGATCACAGCTGCTTAAATAATAGAGGTGAAGGATTCTTAGCAATTAAAATTTAAATTATTTAAATCACATTTAATTGTGAAGAAACAAAGTAACTAACCCCCCCCAAATTCCTTCCTAAAGTTGATATATTGTATTCCACGACAGCTTTGTATTGTTTGTGTTTCAGATACCTTTTCTGTACACAAAGTGTCCAATATTTGGTAGTGAACTATAAGAGCACATTTCTCATGATCAAAGGAACTGTGGCCAGAAACACTGTGTCCATTTATCTTCTTGGTACTGTGCTGATACATCATACTAAAACATGGTCAAGATGTCCAGGCTGCCTCATAAGCTTTGGACAAAGAGCTTCACATAAGAAATAGATGTTTAGAAATGATTAAATTATGGGGGGGAGGTGAGGCAAGTCCTTAATTAAATCCACAAGCAGCATACCTAATCCCTACAGATTTTAGCCTTTCTGTCTTTGGGGAAATCCCCTCAGCCAGCCATTGGACATAGACTCTGAGGCAGTTGGGATCCTTTTGGTGTGGCAGGAAACCATGATTGACAAAGGAACTGTCTACCTGACCAAACCAAAGCAGTAAGTCAATTACAGCTCGCCGTTACATCACAACTTACAAGTTATGTTAAAGAATCCAAGGTTGAAATCTCACTTGCATTTTAAATTATCACTTTAATTACAATTCAGTTTAATTATTGCATTTTAATTATCACTTGGGAATATTCTCTTGCTTCAGTTCATATGCATTACCACTATTCCTAAATTATGCTTCTTCTGTTTTAAATGTTACCATACAACACCAGCTAGTGTGGGAAAAATAATGTCACCCACTTGTCTACACCAGATGCTGACTCACAGTGGCCTGTGATTAGTCTTGGAGGCAGTCCCAAAGGTACCCTTTTAGTCTGCTCTAACTTCATGTCTTTCACTGCTGTCCCCACTTTCCAGTGAAAGTTACAAGGTAGAGGAAGAAGCCTTGTCAGTTTCACTGATGCATTGGCATTTTTAAACAAATAAAGGGCTCTGGTGCTAGTGTGCATATATGCCCTTTTGAATAAATGCCTCCAAAAATGAATGCCTCCTTATTTAAATTTTCCTGTGGATGAAAAGTTGTCTAAGAAAGGAAAGACAGGGCTTTTTGGAAAATGAGGCCAAGAAATGAAAATTAGCCAGTCTCAAGAGAGAATACAGATCAGGTTTTGAAAAGTGGATTATAAATATAGAAAGAAGTGACATCACCTTGACTTCCTGAAATATAGATTTCATTGCCTGAGTAGAAACAGGAAACTGAGTGTATCCATACACACATCTCCATAGATAAGTAGCTGAGGAGGGAGGTGGTGTGTGTCTGGGTGGGGGTGTTCTGCTTTAGAAAAGAGAGAGCTGGTCAACTTAGTTGACTGAAAGTTTAAAATCCAATTGAGACAGACCTGCTGTGTCATAAAGGGGAAGGGAATCTGCATTGATGAAACTGCTGAGGCTTTCGCCTACGCATACAGAAAAGTTAAAATGTGGGGAAAAGTCAGGCTGAAATGTGGGGGGAAATGTTGGGCAGTGGACTAACAATGCATTTCACAATGAACACTTCTCTTCAGAAGGAAAGATGATACGCAGTTGATATGCAATTCACCTTCTTGCACAGCCATCAAGAGGTCAAAAACCTGCTGCAAGTGCATGTAAAGCTGCATTTCTGTCTTTTCCTACATTAACACCAGTGAGAGAGAGAGAGTTCCAGAGGGTAGCTATGTTGGTCTGCAATAGAACGGCTAGATTCTAATCCAGTAGCCCCTTAGAGACCCACAAGGTTTCCAGAGTATGAACTCTGGGAGCTTAGACTCTTGGAAGCTTATGCTCCGAAAATCTCGTGGTCCCTATGGTGCTACAGGACTTGAATCTACCGGTGAGAGAGAAGCTGAAGGGCACCTTAAATGCTTGCCCTTTGGCTTGTAAGTTGTGCCCATGCCTTAGAACAGTTTGAACAAATCCACATATCTCCTGTGCAGACAGGAGGTAAAGACAAAGGATCACTCCTATCTCCTTGCGCATAAAACCTCCCACCTGGGTAACATGATCCAGCCTGTGTACTCTCAGGACTATAGGTCATTTACTATACTTGACATCAGGTGCTGAAGGCAGGAAGTATACTAAATATATTCCCAAGACTGTCTGAGGGCATAGTAGTACATCAGTGAAGTGCACAGGGAATTGAGTAACATAGAGAATGAAAAATGAGACGTTATAATCAGATTGAGTACAGAATGACTGACTGGTCATTCTGCTGGTCTTCTTGTCTCCCCAATTAGATTTTTTAAAAACAAACAATGACATTAGTCACATCAGCTTCAAAACTATCAGAAACCCAGACCATAGATATGCATGTGCAGCAAACGGCCATCTGTAAAACTCTAGCTAGCCAGGAAATAAAAGGGTTTGGGGTTTGGGGTGTTGGGAGGGTATAAACACCCTCACCATTCCTTGGTCTCCTAGTTTTCTATAAGTAAGCAATCCTTTACATAGAAACGCATTTGAAAAATGATTTCTTAGGGGAAACTAAAGTGGTGTAATCCCATTAGTAAAGGTAAAGGTTTCCCTTGCTCGAAAGCCAGTCGAATCCGACTCTAGGGTTGCGGTGCTCCTCCTTTTCCAAGTCGAAGAGCCAGCGCTGTCCGAAGACGTTTCCATGGTCATGTGGCCGGCATGACTAAACACCATGGCACACGAAATGCTGTTACCTTTCCACCGAAGCGGTACCTATTTATCTACTTGCAATTTCTTGAACTGCTAGGTTGGCAGGAGCTGGAGCCAGAGACTGGAGCTCACTCCGTCATGCGGCACTCTTAAAAAAAAAAGACTCTACATGCAGTTTTGCTGGAGTACAAATATTAGGGAACTTATCTCATTGGCTGTTTGTTTTGATAAATATTTCTGAACTTCATAGACTAAATGTGCTATATTTATGATCAGTAATATCATACCTAGTTCTGCATTACAGTATCATTGGATGAGGAAAATAAGATTTTCCTTTACTTTAGTTCAAACTATTTTAGAATTTGGAAGTGTCTTAGTAGGTTGAAAGTGAACAGCCTTGGCAATCGTGAGGTTGCTGCAGACAAATACAAATTCATACTAATTTACAATTTGTTACAAAAATGTTTGACTTTAACTGTATTTCTGCATGAGAGGATAGCAAGGCAGATTTATCTTTCAGAAACCAAAAGCCTGCAGTTGCACTAGCCACTGGATGTTTTTTAAAGCTTCCATTTCAGTTTTTCACACATGAGATATGCTACCCTACTTACTGAAGCAGCGGAGAATACAAAACCTCAATAGCTTAGTGGCTTTTCCACCTCAAAAGCTACTCTGCCTCTTCTGTAGCCAGAGGATTGCACAAAGGTTTTTGTCTTTCTCCCAGTACAATTAAAATAGCTGCACTTTATAACATGCTTTGAGGGGGATCTTTATCTGTCTTTTTTTGGAGGGGGGTGGTGTTAGTGAATGTATTCAAAGAATGTGTACATAAACGAGACTGAAAAGAATCTGTCTCATTCCTAGACACTAGAATAATTTTTTCTAAGGTTTCTAACACTTTTTACACACTGTTTAGAGATTCCTATTTTATTTGTTAGTACTCCAGCTATACAAAGCAACTATGTATTTACTTGTCTTGTGTTTTTCTGGCAGTTGTTTAATAATATTTATGGATGTGGTGTTCTTACGAAATTAGGTTCCAGTAGTGGGATTTTCCCCACACAATGCAAGATAAGACATATTTTGTCAGTATTATGTCCTATAATATTCAGCATTATTTCTCTGATGGAGGCCAATTCTGTCTGCCTATAGAAAAAAACAAAAGAACAAATTGATCAAATTAGGTACTCAAGGTAAAAAGTGTACTATTAATTTGGGTTTTTTAAAAGAGTCATCACATCGACTTTTTAAGCTGTGGGATCATTAGCTCTTCATATTTTATTTGGAATGGTTACTGAGAAGCAGCATCTGTAGAAATGAAAGATGTCTCTTAGCTTATAGTATATTTTATAAATATTTATGAATCTTGTTGAGATGTTCTTCTATGATTCAACAATTTGGGAGCTCATGAATATCCCAACTGCTGTACCTGTCTTGGTATTAACTCTTTCTTTAGGATCTATTTGATCTGTACATTAATTTCCCCCCTCTAACCAGATCTTCAACCTCATGAAGTATGATAGCTACAGCCGCTTCTTAAAGTCAGATATGTTTCTTAAACTGAAGCAGACTGAAGAACAGGAAGAGAATTCATCAGATGCTCAAACTGCAGCAAAAAGAGCTTCTAGAATTTACAACACATGATCCAAATAATAACAAATGATATATTCCGCTGGCATTATAATGAACAACAAATGAGTTCTCAGGAATCATCTCTGAGGTTAATACAATTGCATTTAAAGTTTGGAAAACACAGAACCCTGTTAGGCAATGCTTAACTTATAAACTGCTTGACCAACCAAATAGATGCCTACTACTGAATCACCTTGCCCTAGGCAGTTCTGGCGAAGCCCAAGAACAACTGAATGGCATGTATTGTGAGTAATCTGCAAAAAGAAGACTACAGTGATATTTGTCTTCTGATTTTGATATCCTTTTGAAGTACTGGGGGGGGGAATTGTAGCATAAGCATTGTGGTAACTTTGAAAACAGAGGTGTGATGTGAAAAAGAGAGTATGGTTGTTAGAAAGTTTGATTAATCTAGTTTCAGCACGGTCGGCAAATTCATATCTTGTGTGCCTGAATTTTTCATTCTTCGTAAAAAAACCAAATTAAAAAGGAAAGCAGCTCATTTTCTCTCTCTCTGCTTCATATAAAATAAAAAATCTGGGAGAACCGGGTTTGATTCCCCATTCCTTCACATGCAGCTGCTGGTTGACCTTGGGCAAGCCACAGTTCTCTCAGAGCTGTTCTCTAAAGAGCAGTTCTTAAAGAGCTCTCTCAGCCCCACCTACCTCACTGGGTGTATGTTGTGGGGAGAGCAAGGGAAAGGAGATTGTAAGCCACTCTGAGACTCCAAGTGAAGGGCAGGGTATAAATCCAATCTCTTCTTCTTAATAAAGCACAAGTTTTTTTCTGCTGCTTTTGAGTGGCTTTTGTAGCACTTTCTTGCTATTCCTTGATTTTTAAATCTATTCGGGCTGGGGAAAGATTATCTGTTTTCTCAATGTATCGTAGTAATTAAGCATGATTGCATTTTCTTGCTTTGAAACTAAGCTTCCCTTGCAATGGCTTTGAATAATTATATCAGTTTTCGTTCTGGAGTACTGTAGCTTCCTTTATAATGCTACAGTAGCATTTTTTCATACTCACACCCAAAAACTAGTTCATTGCTGTAATAAATGTGTGTTATACAAATTCAGAAGATCCTTTTGACTGCTATAGACTATGCATCTGTTCACTTAGTAGTAATGTAAAATGCATAGTTTGCACCACACCCAGGCTGCAGTCAGATGGGCAGTTTGGCCTGATATAGTTGCACTTCCCATATGGATTAAATGGACTCAGTCACACAGTCACATTTTGCAGCCGTTCCCCAGTCGTATTCACCGCATTGTATGATGAGTTGGATTCGGAATAAATAGCCACCAGAGGATATCCGGTGGTTTCTGGATGGCCCGTGTTTCCATTCCGCTTTCCCCACGTCTGAACGTCCCTGTCTTGCATACAAGCTGGATGGGGAGTGCGATCGGTCAGATCCATTTCTGAGTGGTCGTCCCCCCCCCCCAAGTTCTCGGCTATGTGTGCCTAAGCGGCCTATGCACATGCCCAGCCATATTTTTTAAAAGAGACAAACACTCCCATGGTTGAGGTGCCACAGTAATGTGGACACTCGACCATGGAGTGACTGCCGGGGGTGGGGAGCTGCAGCTGGATCTTCGCCACCACAATGTAAATCTGAGCACTTAGAGGTGCCACCATTTCGCACCAAGGCTCCAGTCTGAGTGCAGCCCCAGTGAACATGTTTTTCCAGTTCAACAGCAACTGTAAGCAACCTGCAAGCTTTCCTGAATCATTCAGAGGAATTCTACTTCGGATTCCAAGAAAATTTTGTTTTTACTGTGTATATTCTATGTTTTTTAAAATAATAATAATTTTTTTTCATGTGCACAGTAGGACCTTCAGATACAAACTGATTTTCCACCCCTTCATTGAAATGTGTTCACATTGACCTTCACTCTAGCTCCTGTGATAAACTTGACAAATAGACTGACAAATTTGGAAGGGACTCTTTGCCATCCAGTACAATAACCATAGTTCCACTGTGATAGAACATGTTGCTCTGTTTCTAAACAAATCTGCTTTTCAGTACTTTCTGCCTTTAATCTCCAGACACTACACATCTAGCATAAGATTCAATGTCATTCACCTGTAAGAAGAAGCATCTATAAAACTGAATCATTTGGCAGTCCAGGGCCCTGAAAGTGCATTCATCACTTTTCACATATCATCTGCAGAGTCCAAGTTTAGGGGAAACACGTTCTGAAGGTTTACAGCAGAAGCCAGATATTCACAGAGCTCTTTGACTAGTACTTATGCTGTTACAACCCAATCTTGTCACTGGAGAAGTTTTGTAAAGTTTTAAAATTGATGCTTTAAAAAAATAAGTCAGTGGTTTTAAGCTGCCATGTGATATATTTGGAAGCTCATGTATATTCACTCTCAATTGCATAGGAATAAAATACAAGTATAAACAAATCTGGCAGAATACACTGTTTTGGCAGCTGGCATATCCCATAAATGAGGTTATGATGAAGAGAGATGGTTCCGCTTCCAGCCTGGATTCTGGAAAAGAATCTTCTGCAAGAATTTAGAAGAGGGAGGGATGGAAGCTACTAGGATTGGGGTGGGAAGCAATGAGAGAAATAGGGAGCCAATGGAACTTGCATGGAGCTTATAGAGCAAGATGAATTATGTGTGCAGGAGAGAATGAAAATCACAAATAAGATTTTTACATTGATGCAAACTGTGCATCAATTTCTTCTGTACTGTTTTCAGGTTTCCTTGGTACTAAGAGATTTGCAAATGTTGCTCCAACTTACCATGCTAATGATTGAATTTGTCTGTGTTTGGAAATGTTCCTGTTCCTTGCTTCAGAGGGGGAGAGTATTTTCCCATCTGCTGGAATAACAATGATATGAAACAGTGAAGTATGAGGCATAATAAAAAAAAATTCTGATAACCCTCCATCCAAACACGCTACATTTTTCTTTTTCGGGCTGGAGTTGCTTCAGGATAGAAAAGCTTTACTGGCACAAATTCTTGCATATGTTTATGTTTTAAACTCATTAATTTGATGCCAAATGACTACACTGTTGTTAAACGTGAGGAGAGCAGATTGGCTGGCATACTGTATTTACAAGTTCTCCCATGTGTAGTGTAATTCCAACTCACATTTTTCTCATTATTTACTCTTTCTTCCTCTAAGTGTGGCCTTAATTGCCTGTCTGTACCATTTAGCTTTATAATATTTGAAAACTCGGAAGGCCAGTTGTATATGAGAGAGCATTCTTTCTGGCAATGTTGCTAAAACTCACTGTAATTTACTATCCAAAGGTGTAGAAGTCTGTATGTAGCTTTTTTTTTTTTTTGCAAATGACTCAAATCAGTGTCTTTTTAACCACAGGTATCACATATGGAAGAAAGTAGTAATCATGCATATATGAGAGGGTTGTGTGGGAGCCAGCAAAGAGTTCCTTCATCCGTATACAGTTCCCTGAAGTCATCCTGTGCCAAAAGGCATTTGTAGGAATAATAATCATCATCCCACAAAACATAGCAAGAGCAAGACTCATCCAGGATCCTTTCACAGAAGCATGCTTTATTTTGTCCTGGGACTAAGGTTGTTGCACATGCATAATCCATGTTCATTGCCCATTATCTTACCCTGATAGGCAGCAGTAACTCTTAGTCAGTAGGCAATAGTAATCCCCTTGTACACACTGTAGAGCAATCAAGGTATACAAAGGAATCTTTTGCATGAACCCATAACTGTCAACATTAACAGTGGGGAGGGGAGAACAAAGTGGTGCCCCCCCCCATGCATACTGAAAATTCCTGCTTTCGGTTATATAGGGGGAAAAGATGGCGGGAAAGCACACACGAAAGCTTATACCATGAATAAAACTTGGTTGGTCTTAAAAGTGCCACTGGACTCAAACTTTGTCTAGTCATGTACCGTTAGAGTGGATGGAAAGCCAGCAGCAGTAGCAGTGAGTAGTTTGCTTCAAGTGTGTAATCCCACTTTCTAGCAGCAGTAGTTGCAACAGACGGTCAGGTAAGATGGTTTTAGGTTTCCCCATCCTTCACACAGGAGATGAATGGCCAGAAATTAGCCATAACAGTGTAGCTCTTCCATTTGGAGTGAATAGTCCCTTGCTGGCTGTTTGGGGGAAATTATGTTCTAAATGGCATGCTGCTCTCACATTTTCATGTTAATTTGTACAATTGTGAGACCATGCGTGGATTTAGAGGTCTAATATATTTCTGAGTATTAGATACTGGGTCATAAGCAATCAGGGAAGGCTTGGCTATCAACTTAATACCCTGATAGTGTGCTTCCTGAGGCACCTCGCTGGTGTCCACTGGGAACTGAATGCAAGCCATTGGTCTAATCCAGCAAGGCAATTCTTAATCTCTTGAAATTAAAACTATTTGCCCAATGTTAGTTTATTTGTTTATTTAATCACTGGTCTTTTAATGAATGTGTAATAGTGCCATTACAATAAACCTGCATCTTACCAAAACCTCTATGTGTCATTTTGCTTACCGTATATTGAAGGAAGTGTGAGAAAACATTTGTTTTCTTTAACATTTTATTCCCTATTTGAGTGACATTCCAAAATCACATTACACCTCAAGAAATAACTGCCTTAGGGCCTAACTAGATGTGACCTTATCCTTGTTCAAACTAACTTGTACCTTTGTTGGAGCAGGTAAGGGATGGGCTGCTCCATCTGCATTGCCAGTTATTATGTGTGTTTTTCTTGGAATGACAGCATGGGGTTTTCATCACTCAAATGTATCCCAGGATTCCTTGCAGTTTTGAGCATTCTCATTTCCATGCTTGTTATTTTTGGCATCACCATATGAACTCATATAGTGCTGATTGCCAATCTTGATTGTTTTAACATGGTGTGCCAATTTTGATTTTTTTTAAAACTTGCCTTGTACATATGAACATTCAAATAAATAATTGTGCCTAGGTTCACATTGTCAGGTTTGTGCATATAAGTTACCGAACATTTCCCAAAATTAACAATACCCCTCTGTCCCCACCCTAAATAAAAGCTGAAACACAGGTAGCCTCCCGTGGTACCCCTTTTGAAATGCAAGCATGGCAGACAACTATCATACAAAGAACAGTATAAACCTAACCTGTAATAAAAACTGTGCTGCAGTCTTGATAAACTGGAGGTGTATACAACTAGCACCATGTGGATGTACAATCATATTAGCGAGGAAGGCCAGAGGAGAAGCATGGGTGCATGACATGAAGACATCCCTGTACAAATAGGCACAACACAATGCCATTCCTGTTAGAATATGTGAGGATAACGTCACATCTGGTTAGGCTCTCAATGCCATCAGTTAAAAGTTGTGCTCTCCAAGCTGAATTGGCCTCCACAAATTAACCAACAAAAAGTGTTGGATAAATAAGTGATCGCTAAATCACTGAAAGGTTGCTGCCTAATTAAAAATGGCTGCATGCTGTAATTTAACAATAGCAGAAAGAGACCATTTTAGTTAAATTGAGGCAGTCAGAAGATGCCTGCAGCATACCCTTTTGAAAAAATGAAGTTGATTTCGGCTGTAAATAAGAATG